CGCTTTCTAATAAGTACCGCGCATATAATATATATATTTATTTATATTTATATACACTTTTTACATATATATATATATATATATATATATATATATAACAAAGTATATAATTGGTATACACGGAATGAATTCCAATAACCAACAATTACTATTCTTAAAAAGAGTGCTCAATACAAAGTAGAGCAGATATAATTATTTTATAAAAAATTTATAACATAAGTATGTTATAAAATCACTACAAAAATAGCCATTTTGTTTCAACACACTCTGTGTCTTATCAAGTGATGGTGTTGAAAAGAAAAAAAAAAATATTTCTATCTCAATCAGTTCGTATCCATCTATCTATCTCAATCTATTTCTATTTATCTATATCTATCTATTTAAGATATTTTTTCTTTTCAACACCATCACTTGATAAGACACAGAGTGTGTTGAAACAAAATGGCTATTTTTGTAGTGATTTTATAACATACTTATGTTATAAATTTTTTTATAAAATAATTATATATATATATATATATATATATATATATATATATATATATATAAATGGTGGCACCTGCTTGGAAAAACCTTGGATACCTCGACTTGCAGTGGAACAAATCGGTACCCGAGGAAAAATGAGGAATAAAAGAAACAAGAACATTAAAACAAGGCGAAAACAACCGCCAAGTGTTCAAGTTCCAAGTCCAAAGAAAAAAAAAAACTAAAATGAGTAAAAAGACAACTACGTAAAGTGCTCAATACACAAAGTGGAGCAAAACCTAAGATAATCCTAAGCGCTCCTTAGGATTATCTTAGATAGATAGATAGATAGATAGATAGATAGATAGATATAGCCGAGATTATAAGTATTCAGTACACGCTGTAAATATACATTGTTTATCTGCAATTATAGTAAGTACTTGTGGCAAAATTACACTACATCTGTATGAATTAAACTCTTCAATTTTTAACGATTCTTTTCTTACAGACAACCAACGTGTTTACATTCGGCTTTTGTCCAGTAGACATAAAATATTATCGAAATGTTTATTTACTTAAGCAAAAGTACTATAATGTAATTGGTTACACACCAACCCCATTCTCTGAACCAATCCCGCACGATAACATTAACTCGTGTACTAAATAGAAATACTGACATAATGATTTTCGTTAAATTGCTACACAACGGCATGGTACTTATTTGGTATACCACGCTTATTATTTCTTTCGAATAATTTTCTACGCGGAAGATTTTTTTTTTTTTTGTTGCCGTTTATTAAAGTTACTCAACCATATTAAAAGACCTACTCAGCACAAAACTAAGATTGTCTGTGCCAGAGTTATTTTCGCCCAATACCGCATTTTTTTTTCAATTTGTTCATACCTCAGTCTGTACATATCTATTTATTTCAGTCAAATTCAATATCGATCTCAATAGGTTCATATCTATCTCAGTCTATTTCTATCTTTGTATATTCATATTTATCTGTCTTTTAATCTCAGCCAGTTTATGTCTATCTTTCTCTCTATTTCAGTCTAGTTATTATCGACTAGCAGGAGAGCCCGGCATTGCCCGGGGATGTAACAGTAAGAGATAGATCAAGTATCCACCATCATAAAGACTGAAAAATAAAATTGACAAAGATTATTGTTTAAGGTTGACGGACACGCATGTCTTATTTAGTTTTTGTTTTTTTTGTTTTTTTGTTTTTTTGATAGGTTTTTTTTACGGATTGGTCAAACCCAAACTCAAACAAAAACATTGTTTTCAATTGTTATGAGTCTATTGATTGAATAGAATTTTATTATAAACAATTGTCTTGTAAATGGAATTTTTAAAGCATTCTGAATGTAAAAATAAAGAAAAAAGTGTGCAAGACAATAAGAAACACTACCTGTCAAGAAAAAAAGTGAAGTTTTGTTGAAATCAGTTGAAAAATGTAGGAAATCCGATCCCATATATAAACGAACACACACACACACACACACACACACACACACACAAACAACCTGGGTTTTATAATAAACATAATTCGATATGAGTTATCCCCCTTTCATTCTGGCGACAGAATCGTGTTTTATCGTGTTTTCAAATTGATTTCGTGCAAAAACAATTGTGTTTTTTCAATTTTTGGCGCCGTCAGAACCACCGCAAGGTAATTTTACGCAGTCCTGTGAAGTTTTGTTGAAATCGGTTGAAAAATGTAGGAAATCCGATCCAATATATAAACGTACAGACACACACACACACTCACAATCTGCGTTTTATAATAAGTAAGATCTCAATCAGTTTGTATCCATCTATCTATCTCAATCTATTTCTATTTATCTATATCTATCTATTTAAGATATTTTTTTATGTTTATACGTTCTTTTTTTATAGATACAAATATTTAAGTAAATGCTCTATTTATAATAAACAGTATTAACAACATTTACCGGCCTGAATATCCGAGAAATTTTCATTGCAAACATGCGTACTTCGACAGGAATCGAACGTGTATCCTATACGGAACCGTCATATAGCCTGACGTGCCTTAACCTATTGGGCCTCAGAGGAGCGTTTGGTTAGCAAGGTCGATGTTACTGTTTTTAAACACATTTCTCTATGTTTTTATCTCATTCATTCATATCTGCTCAATGCGTATTCAAATGTAAACAAATGACGTCATACATTATGAAATGGACAAAGTCCGACAATTATTTAAGAGATTTTTTATGTTTATCTCTATCTATATTCATCTCTCTCCCTATCTCTGTGACGTGCTAATAACCTTGGGAAAGATACGAATCCTCACAGAAGGGGTTCTATAGCCTTGGATGGCAACTGGTCTACTGCAGAAAGGAATAGTAACCTACTGCGGTAAAAACAAAATCTGCCTTGTCAGTCATGTATTGAAAGATACATGATCGCCTAAGCGTGTATCACGCATGGCACATAATTGACTGACTGACGTGCTAATAACGTTGGGAAAGGTACGAATCCTCTTCTTCTCCCACCAGCTATGGATAAATAGCAGGACAGACTGTGTTCTATAGCTTTGGGTGGCAACTGGTCTACCGTAGAAAGAAATGGCAAACTACTGCGGCAAAAAGTCTACCTCGTTAATCGTGTATCGAAAGATACATGATCGCCTAAGCGTATATCACGCATGGCACATGACTGAATGTTCTGAAGATAAAGCAGGATAAACATAAATAGGATGTTTATTTTTCTTCTTTCTGTCATTCATTCTCTCTTTATCTTCATTTCTTCGAGATTCTTGACAAAATCCAAAGAAGGATCTGCAATGTAATCGATCCTGACTTTCTCACGGACGTGATGTGGCTTCCCTTTGTCTTTTCTACAGATATTTTAATAGCAGCTGCTCTGAAGAGCTTTCTTCCCTGATACCCAGACTACATGAATTTAAACGTGCTACTAGATTGGCATCTAGGATCCCACCCTTTTACTGTTGAAATTGGTAAATCTAACAGTTTTTTTTTCTCGCACTTCCCACTTGTGGAACTCCCTTTCGTTAAAATTGATCACACCCAAGACAAAAGCAGGGTAAATAGCAGGACAGACCTGGTTCTATAATCTTGAAAGAAATAGAAACCCGCAGAACGAAACAGTAACCAGCGAAAGATACATGATCGCCAAAGCGTGTAAGGCTAGCGTCTCGGATTAGGGAATCGGAGTTCGAATTCCAGTCGAATCCATTACATTCACTTACGTGCTAATACCCTTGGGAAAGGTGTGAATCTACTTCTTCTCCCCAAGCTATGGGTAAATAGCAGGACAGACCAGGTTCTATAGCCTTGGGTGGCAATTGGTCTACCACAGAAACTTGAAAGAATCACAACGAAAATTAATCGACATGATATGTCTAAATTATTTAATCAAACCTGTTTGAATGAAACTATGCTGCCTAAATATACACAGTATATATATATAAAAATTTGTTCATCACCATATTTGGTATAAACGCAAACACTTTAAAAAATTTAAAATCAAACTCAGCGTTGCTTTGGCGCGTTCAAAAACCAATAACTCATTTTCAATAGCATTTCGGATACAATAACACATATATTTTCGACGTCCTCTTATTACTAAGAGAAAAAAAACAAGAACAACATCTATTATATACCTGAAGATGTCTGTAGGAAGAGACGAAAGCTTGTAGTAAAAATAACAACTAATACGGCAGAAATTTATATAAACAAGGATCAATTCATTCATAACGGATCTGGAGGTTTTTTGTGTACTATTTGAATTGTTTGCGATGATGGATGTCTCGCCATTTAAATCATTAACCTTTGCATTAGTTTTGTGTGAATAATTCATGTATTTGTAAATTGATTGCACGTTTATTGTAATATATATATATATATATATATATATATATATATATATATATATATACTATTAACACATAACTGGCTGACGGGAAAACTATATTAGGGCACTATGAAAGTGATTGAATGAGATAATAGAGGGGAGCGCATGGAGAATTCGAGTTAGGCATTTCCTACCGACATTAGTAGGGAGCGAAGGCCAACAGATCCAACAAAATTCGAACTCATATCCACATTTCAATATTTCGAAGCTGCCAATATTTTTTTTTTTTTTTTTTTACCTTTGTGCAAAATTTTTCGATATGCAATATTGTTTGTCTTCTGCTTCTCCTCCATTCGTGTTTAAGAACTTTCATTGGTTTCTCAACGCCATACTCTTCCATGCGTCTCCGTATTCATTCATCTGGAAGTGGGCCGGCCAGATACGGACGGTTTGTGAATGGAGAAATTGTAGATGATTTAATTTAGACGGGCTAAGTTCAACCGAAAGTAAATACTTTCTAGGTTTCCATTGGGAAATGGTAGACGTTTGCAAAAAAAATACGAATGTGTCCGTTTTCTAACGAACCGTTCAATCATTTGTTTCCTAACATCAATCTATTTATATAAATCTGTCAATCACTTTATCGATAAACTGATAGATCTATCCGGATCTGTTTACATTGTGAGGTTAGTAGTATCTATCTATCTATATATCTATCTATCTATCTATCTATCTATCTATCTATGTTCATTCATGTCAAACTATCAGCCTCTCATCTACTAGTGTCCTCGCAATTTGTTTATATCTGTTTATATATCTCAGTCCATATCTATCTATCTATCTATCTATCTATCTATCTATCTCAATATGTTCATTCCTGTCAAACTATCAGCCTCTCATCAACTAGTGTCCTCGCAATTTGTTTATATCTGTTTATATATCTCAGTCCATATCTATCTATCTATCTATCTATCTATCTATCTATCTCAATATGTTCATTCCTGTCAAACTATTAGCCTCTCATCTACTAGTGTCCTCGCAATTTGTTTATATCTGTTTATATATCTCATTCCATATCTATCTATCTATCTATCTATCTATCTATCTATCTATCTATCTATCTCAATATGTTCATTCCTGTCAAACTATCAGCCTCTCATCAACTAGTGTCCTCGCAATTTGTTTATATCTGTTTATATATCTCAGTCCATATCTATCTATCTATCTATCTATCTCAGTCTATTTACTATCGATCTCAATCGATTCGTATTCCGCTAGCTATCTATTTCAGTCTATTTCTATCTTTCTATCTGTGTGTGTGTGTTAAATACAAACGTTTCTCCTTCTATTATCTATTTTAATCTTACCATATCTTCTTACCATATATATATATATATATATATATATATATATATATATATATATATATATATATATATATATATATTGTGTATATTTAGGCAGCATAGTTTCATTCAGACAGGTTTGATTAAATAATTTAGACATATCATGTCGATTAATTTTCGTTGTGATTCTTTCAAGTTCACGGATTCATTTTTTGGAAGATTCAGAAAATTGAGTAAGAAAAATACCAAACTTTTCTTTCGAATAGTTTTTATTTTCCCAAGTACTTTCACTCTCATCTGTGACCATCTTCATTGGGTTAAGTTGTCTTAGAGTATGTATATATGTTTCTGTTATTTAAAACATTTCAACTGTTCGTTTTTTAGGCAGCGTTCTAAATTTCAAAGTTCAAGTGTTATTACTTAACAAACCGAATATAGCATCAAAATTTATATTATTTTTATTTATTTGTTATATCACTAAATACATAATTGTCAAGGATGTTTCCATAAAACTTGTTATTTCCTGTAATAATTCTTTTTATAAATATTATTATTATTTTACTTAAGTGTAAGGGTAATCCTATATTTACAATTCCTTACAGCTAACCATGAAAAGAAATGTTGATCACAACTGCCTAAAACCTTTAAGCGCGTATTGCAGTAAAATTATCAAATTTTACATATGCCCCTCCTGCGTCAAATAACCTCGTCAGATCGAGGCTTTCATATGGATGTTATATATGGCGTCAAACTCTTTCAGAAATATCTAAACTGTCAGTTGTATACAATCGCTTTCTCGGATCAATAGTTAAAAATGGCTTTAGTGAAGAGCATCCTTCTTCGAACCTCGTTGACTGGCGCTACAGAATCACAAACAAAGAACTGTACCAAATAACAGAAATCACATCACTTGAGGTTTTTCAGTAGCGGCAAAGTTAAATGGATAGTACATGGAACGCGAGGAGAAAATCCCCATCAATACAGGAAGGAGCGATAACAGTTACTGGATTTCAGAAAAGTATTTTACTCATGTGTCAATAGAAGGATTTTATAAATTTCATTCAAAAGCAACACTGACTGTTCGGTCAAAGAATGATTAATGGTTTCTTATAAGGAAACGACATATTACAAATATAATTACTATTTTTATAGCCAAAAACAAATGAAAGCGCCTCATAATAATTTGTCACGATACATCTTTCTTTCCTTCCTTTTTCCTTTCTTCTTTTTCCCAAGCTATTTTCTTTCCTTTACCCTCCTTTCCTTCCTTCTTTATCTCTTTCTTCCTTATTTTTTGTTTCTTTACTTTCTTCTTTTCTTTTCCCTTCTTTCCTTCCTTCCTTTCCCTTCTTTTATTTTCCTTCCTTCCCTGCTTTTTTCTTCATTCTCTCCATCCATCCTTCCTTCTTTACTTGTTTTTTTTCTTCCTTCCCCGTTTTTCCTTTCTTTCTTTCGCTCTTCTTTCTTTCCTTTCTTCAACTTCCTTTACCCTTTTTTTCCTTTTCCCTTCCTCGTTTGTTCCTTCTCCCTTCCTTTATCTTTTCTTTCTTTACTTGTCTGTCATTTCTTCATTTTTTCTTTTCTGTCTTCTCCTTCGCTTCCTTCTTTCCTTTTCCGTCCCTTTCTCCTTCCTTTGCACTTCTTTTTTTTTCCTTCCTTCTCTACTTTTCTCTTCCTTCCTTCACCTTTCTATCTTCCCTTCCTTTTCCCTTATTTTCTTCTTTCCTTTCTCCTCCTTCTTCCTTTCCTTCCTTCCTTCCTTCCTTCTTCCTTTCCTTCCTTCGTTCCTTCCTTCCTTCCTTCCTTCCTTCCTTCCTTCATTTACCCTTCCTTCCTTCCTTCCTTTTC